GCAGCTTTGAGGGACCAGGACACACTATTCTATAGTCAACAGCTTTGTGCCCATGTTTAGACATGAACAACTTCTGGCTGGATTACAGACTGGTGGATCAGAGCTTGGAGGTACCAAGTTATTTCAAGAAACTACAAGGAGTCATGATGTCAGGAGGCGACCCAGAGGTCACTGGCATGTCTCCCAGAACAGGAAAAGTCTGTGAGGTTTTCTAAAACAATCGTGATGATGGCAGAGACTTGAGGAAGACACAGGTGTGCCTGGTACAGCATTTTCCTAAAGCAATCTTCTTTCCCGGCACCACTGCAAAAACTTACGACGTTGTACTCAATTCTAGTCTTCCCATAACCCAAAACCCTTCCCCAAAGAAATCAAGGAAAAGGAACCATACAAATTTAATTTTAATGATACAGAAATAGTATATAGTACATTTCTTTCCACAGCTGCACTTCAATCATCTCTAAAAAATTTAACAAAATTAAGGCTAAATCAGAGCAATCTGATAGTAAAAGGATATTTTATGTGGTTTTATTTTTAAAGAATGTCTTCATAAATATAGAATGTTCATCAGGCCAAAAAAAAAAAAAATGTTGAACGAGATACCAAATATGGGAAATGCAATACAAAATGTGCTCCTTTATACCAATTTCCTAATAACCACAACTTCCCTGGGAGGTTCCAAATGGGATTTTTTTTTTAATGGATGTGACAGGATACTATGACTTTCTGAAGTACAATAGGCCATTTTAGAAAATAAAACCAAGGACAGTTGAGTCTCCAACACAATCTCTATTGAAAAAATGAAAAGCAAAAGTGGACAGGGTTTAAAAGTGCAGGAGAATTCCATCTGAGACTGCGATGCCCCCAAGGATGATCCCACCATACCTGGCCTTTCCCCCATCCTGTGTTATAGAAAGACTTTAAAATACAGTGAAAAAAACTGGCATTACTGAGAGAGTCAGGAAAGCAAATGGGGTTCTTGAGTGACCTGCTCCAAATACTGATGTTTATTGTGAACAGGAAGAAGGAATGTCCTTCTTTCCCCCTTTTTCATTATCCTTGGCCATATTTGCTGGTTAGCTTGTTACCACCACTTTCTGACTCAAGAAAGACCCTTAGGCTGTTCCAGGATTTAGAGTAAGATGAAGAGTCTTTTTCCCTCTTTTCCCTCCAGTAAAGCTTCTGAAAGGAAACTAGACAATGCAGTGCTGACTCCCTGCAGGAAGCCTCGCTCTCTGCAGTCCCAGTCTCTGAGCAGCGACATAAGCCTGCGAGCAGAGAACCCACCTCCCACCTTCACAGGCTGGGTACCACACCTGGTGGCCTTCCCTCCTCCACCACCTCAACTTGCCTTGGGAAATTCCAGTATTATTTTCACTGAAGGAGAATTGTGGGTGTGTTAACATCACTGACCCCTAGAAAAGGTAGTTTTATTTCTTCATTATAAGCCTTAGAGTCCCCCTACTTTAACCAGGACAGTTTACTTTATGACCAGAATCTTCTCATATAGGGTTAAAGTTTTCATTATAAAGTAGCAGCTAGTTAGTTTACATTATTTTTCTTTAACTTTGCATAAGAATTTTGTTTTTCCATTTCTTTGGTTCCCAGAGCCTCAATTTCCCCTAAAGAAATTAAATGAAATGCAAATAGCCAGGTAAATAACATCCAATAACCTCTTTAAGTCTTAAGTGTGTTCCAAAGATGGCTAAAACCTCTAGGAAACAGCGGGCTGAGGCATAGATACTAAAATGCATTTCTTATATAAATTCACATGTAAACACAGAGAAACAATATGACATACAATAACCCACGTGAATGTAGAGTAATTAACACAATAACATTCTATGATCACACAATCACATAAAGAAAAGGTATTTGCGAGATCTTTCAGTTAGTTCAGTGCTTTTCAAATCTGGCTGATCATCAGGGTCACCTGGTTGGGCCTTTGACATTTCCTAGACCCCATTCGTGAAGAGTCAGATCCAGCAGGCATAGCCAGGGGCCCAGAAATTTGTCTCTTTTTCCTATAAAATTCAACAGTCCCACCCTCTTGCTATATAGAGGAGGACACTAAGGCCCAGAGAAGTCAAGACGTTGCCCGAGACTAACAGAGCAAGCGACAGAGAAAGGGCTAGCACCAGCTCTCTTGTCCCCTTGTCCACCACTTTTTCTGTCACACCTCGCTGCGTCCCAGAGCTTTCCCCCGACCTGGTACCCTTACACTTAGGCTAAGCAGCCTTTAGTAGACATTCTGTTGTTAGAAGTAGGTGGTAAGCTGCTTGAGGGCAGGGACCATGTCTCATGTTCCTTCTGACACAATCCTAGGTTATAAGTGTCTAAGAAATACTTGTTGGCAGGCAGTCCCTCAGCTAAGGCCTCATTCTGTATTTTCCACTCACATCTCTGGCTGCGATCATCCACACAGATGCAAAATCATCTAGCTGGATATCGAGATCCACCTGAGGAGGGCAGTAACGCCTCTGAATTTATGAAGGTGCCATGTTCACACAACAGGAATTTGAACGACTATGCAAGTTCCATAAGGATTACCATGTCTTCCCCTTGTTCCTGAATTACGTGAATTATGTAAAAATAATAATAATAATAAATGAATCCATGGGAGAGAAAGAAGTTATTTACCTATAACATTTGGCAAACATGAATTATAAAAATCCTCAACTAGTCCAGGGAGATAATCCTTAGCAACTGTAACAACTATATTTTATTGAGTTTTGTTACTGTTTCTCTTGGTTTGCAATGTGTATCCCTAGTCTTTTAAAACATTCTTTTGTGGATGGAGTCAAACTCCTTCATAAAGCTGATAGCGAGGGACTGAACACATTACGGCATGGTTGCTCTCCCTCCCCACCCCACATGTATAAACTCTCACACACAAACACACACACACTTACACGTGTGTACTTAATGGAGGTGGGGGAACATGACTTGTTTTATAAATAAGATGATTCTACTATATTGCCATCTTGATTGTAGATATGATACGGAAGAAAGGATAACAAAAACATTTGAAAAGCCAACAGGAAAATATTAAAGAAAATTTAAGGCTGAAAAGTAAATAAATCAACAGGCACATGGGCCACTGGTGCCACACAGCCCAGCCCTGCCTGTGCCCCCCTGACACACGGGCCTCTGCTGGACCAGGAACAAGACAGGACTGCGGTGGGGGGGGGGGGGGGTCCCCAGGAACCACCACAGCAGGCCCTGCCTCCCATGACTGGGTACTCCCTCCCCAGCTAATGCTAAAAGAACTGTCAGCATTCTTCAGCTAATGCTTGAAGAGTCTGTCCTTAGAAATCATTTACAGATGAGGCCCCTCCCACTTGAAAGCGCCTCCACCCGCCTCGGGACATGGCACAGGCACCCTCACAAGTCCTCTTCAAGTCTTCCGCCGCGAGGGGCCGGGCACGACAGAGCTCCCTCAACTTGTACTTTGTTGTAATTTTTACAGGAAAGGCACTGTCTTCTCTTTTTTAACTGTTAAGTCCAGTCCTACCCAGATACAGAGTCCTAGTCACTCCTCCAGACAGCCTTTTCAAATCACGTTGATAAGCTCCTTCATCCATTTCCTCCCCAGCACGTACTGATTATGCGGTGACTGGACTTCCGGAAGGTCAGGACTGGGTGGGACCACAGACATCCTGTGTCCCATGCTCCTCACCTGCCCCGGGGTGACAGGGCGGGGTCACCCCCACCCCCTGATCTAGGAACCATCTCACCCCCCACCCAGGCACTGAGCAAAACTTCACGCACAAGTTGCAGACTTCCTCATTCCAAAACTGAAAAAATCACGAGATGAAAGAACTTTTTGTACCTTATTATGATTTATAAAGCTAATAAATATTAGGAAAATGGAATGACAGAACCAAAAAGTAAACATGACTTGAAAAAGAAACAATTTCAGGGTTTGCAAGGATTCTTTCCCTTTTTTTGGACATTCAGTGTTTTACGAAGTCATGTGCTAGACACACATGACAGCCTCTGCCTTTCCGCGCGGTTGGGAAGTCATTCCAGAGAGACGATGACGCCATACAACACATCCCACGGCACTTACATTTACAGCCTATGCTTCTAGTCTACAACAGACACACACTACGGATATTAGGTACAAAAACATCCATCTCCTACTTATCTAATCAGGAGGAAGGCAAAGCTGCTGCTAACATTTCAATAAAATATCTGATTCATAATTGTCATTATCTCCAGGGAAATCAGATGGAATTTAATGCAGGTACTGATCTAAGTTCTGGACAGTCTTATCTAAAATAGTAGAGGTTTAGATATCCAATACATCTCTTCAGGGAAATTTTAATGAGTGATTCTATATGCCAAATTAATTTTCTTATGAACCATATATATTTGTGTAGGAATATATTTGTCACCTCAACGCTTTAATAAAACTTACTGTGCTCTGTTGCATAAAATAGAGAGCCGTAAAAAAAAAAGCTGTTAGCTGACAGTTACTACTATGAATGTAGAGCTTCAATTGCTGTATACGCTAATCCTCCAGGAAAACTACATCAAAAATGGACATTTTATGACAAAATCACTCATTTATATCAAAACCAGAACAAATAGAAAACACCACTAAGGGAATTTAAATACTTTTCTGACCACTACTGCAGAAACACAGAAACTCAGCAGATTTCAGACATGCAGGAATCAGCACTATACAGGGAAGAATTAACAAATCAAACTCAGTACAACTTTAATAACTGGATTGAAAGTAGACTCTTAATAGAACCAAAATATATCCTCCTCAAGGCAACCATCAGCTACAAAGGAAAAATGATTTCATATCCTTGGTCCATAAAGAAGACACATTTATTTACATTCTCAATGGACTAAAAGAGGTTTTAAACTGTCACAATTAAAATTTTATGCTTCCAAAAATATCTTATGATCAATGCACTTAACTTAAAGCTTCAGATATTAATAACTTCATTTAGGCATCTTAAAAAACCAACACAAACATACTTTCTAGAGTGCAAAATGCTTCTTATTAAATACTTTAGTAACACAAAAGCAATTTGTTTTTACACGCAGGAATCCTCTTCTGAAGGATCATCACCACAAAGACATCCATTGCCGGCAATGGACGTTGAACAAATCTGCCAGCTCGCGTGAAATGCAACATTAAAATTGTGCGTTGGGTTTCTGCACCTGTCCAGATGACCCCGTTTATTTGTACAAACTCATTGTTGGACTCTGGTACATGCACATGTATGCATCACAAAGAAGTCTTCGTGCACAGCCTTGGATTCTTCTGGAGTCCAAGGAATGCAGATCTTCTAGAGACATTTTCAAGTACTCTCCTACTTCTGGGCATGGGGTAACCTGAGGAATGTTGAAGCCATTCTGACCACCTATGGAAAAGAGGAAGAGCTGGATTTAGGGCAGTCAAGTTCTAAACCCTTTTGCTGTCCTGCCCCACCAAAGTAATTTTACAATTCCATAATTTAGTTAAGGCTAATTCCCAGGACCTGAAAGACCTTATTTTACTTCTGATTTCTAGAAGTTAAATCCTCTTCTTAACTCCTGACAGTCTCATTTCTTAGTTTCTGAAAGGCTTCCGGGACCAACAGTGAATACTATTGATAAAAGGACACATATCCTGAGCAAAGTCCAAAACCTACTTCCCAGGCTTCTCTGTGTATTCAATCAGGGAATAATGTTACATACACATACGCACACACATTCAACTCTTCACATTCCCAAATCCCTTCCCAGACACAAGCACCCCTCCCTGTATGCTTTACCATGAGCCTGTCCAGTTTAGGGCAGATCTAGTAAAATGAATACCATTTTATCCCGCTAAATTTAAATATGTATTTGTGTGATTCTCACAAGGTTCTGTTCTACATTTCGTTAGACTGAATGAAGATGCTATGAGGCGTGGTCTTAGGGATTCCAGGAAAGGCTTTAGCCTCCCAGTGGCTTTTCTAAAATCGCGTGGAACCCTTGTGCTTTTGAGTTACATGGCTAAATGCAAATTTTAACTGGGGTAAGGACCTATTTACAGTTGGGGCTGTGCTATATCCCTCAACCGTCTGAGAGCTGAGAATACGTTGAGAACCCTTGGGGTACAGCTTGGGCATCTGATCGAAAGGCTGCCACAAGGTGGCGTCCTAGGTCACCAGAGGGCCACACCAGAAGACTCGGCGTCTGGAGCGTGAGAGTGACTAAAGGAAAAACGGGGTATCAGAGAACTGGAGGAACGTGTAAGTCATACTTCACAACCTGGCCTAGGACCAGTCCTAATCCGTAAACTCTACACAGGCAGGGGTACAGCTGTTTTGACAACTGTTTCGTTTTTGAAACCTACTAGAGCCCCAGGCACTTCACATGCACTCATTAGGTATTTGTTAAATAATGACTAAACACCCTAGAAAGCAGCCTAGAAGGTGCAGTATATTCCCCACTTTAAGGAAGACACATGACACACAGAATAAGCTTATTTTTCCAAAGAAGATATTTACTTCTATTCTTAGCTTTGTCATCTAGAAGACAACAGAAAAAACATAAGCACTGAGGTCAGAAAGACTGAATTAAATACAAGCTCTGAGACCTTAGGCACCTTAAATCTCAGCTTTAGTAAGAGAAAAATAGGAATCATTCCCATCTTGCAAGGATTTAGGTATAATGACGTAAGGTACCTCCCTGACAGCTTGGCACGTAGGTATTTAGGAAATGGTGACTATGGTACAGAAAATAAGAGAAGTCTGAAAGTCAAAGACAACAAAGCTGAAAATAAAACCTTTCAGCCCTAAAGAAAGAAATTTCCGGTTCATTTTTTTTTCTTTTTCTTAAAAGACTCTATGCATGTCAAAATATCACAACAATATTATCCCTTCGTTTAATAGCAGGGCTGTTAATGCATTTCAAGATTTCAGACTACGTCACCAGGATATTCCTGAACGGCTTTTCCCAACACTATTTTATTACTCAGACCAGGCTAGCCCACTGTGGTTATCCCACTACAAACTCAAACGTCACCACATGCAGAAAAGGTCTGGACAGTACCATCCCGGTCAGCCATGCTGTCAAAGAAGAGCCAGGCAGAGTCGTCTTTCCCGTACTTCACGAAAGCGACATAGTGGCTTGTTTCTATGCAGAGGACAGCAAACAACTCCATCTTCTGACAGGGGATGCAGCCGTGTCTCCAGTCCCAGTCAGGTAAATCTTTGGGAAGTGACACTGGGTTATATTTATGATTCAGCCTCTTGGGATGAAGGTGGACCTGAAAGGGAACATGAAGAGAATGCCATTAAGAAGCCAAACTCAATGTTTGATGGGAATGAATGCCACTTACTCTAATTGAATACATCCTCACAAAGAGCAACTGAGTACTTGACAGAAGTCCATCAAATAAGCAGAGGAGGCATAAACAATACCATTTAATTATGGAATTTTTAAAGTTAATTATGATTCTGAAAACTTTTCAAAACCTGAAATCTGTTTAAACTACAAATGATTCACTATTAAGAGAATATCCGTTAAGTGAAGTCAAACTTACTTGAGTGTTGCAGGTTTTACAAAACTGCTTGATTTTTCCAGCTGAGATGTCAGGGTCATCGTAGCATTCTCTACACTCATACATTGCGAGCCCTCCACATATCCGGCACTGCCTAGGGGCTGAAAACGTTGGGGGTGGCGGGGAGTTAAGGGGTCTTTAAAAATGCATTCTTTCATTAAAAAGATTAAAAAGAAAAGTTAAGCTTTAAAAAGGATAATGCTCATGGACTCAGTGAAGTCCACCCCTCCCCATCCCCATAAACTTATTGGATTTTCTTGGATTCAGGATATCTTTAAAAACATTTTCTCTGACCAAATGACAATTTTTTAAAAATAATATATTCTAGAGTGTTTCCCCGATAATAAAATTTCTATTGATGAATATGCAAAGATACAAGAGAGTATAAATAAGAAAACCGAAAGCATCTACAATTTCAGTTAGCAAGAGACAACCACTGTCAATACAACTGTGAATTTTCTCAGATAATTTTATATCTGCACACTCATATAACTCGGTGCACGTGTGTGTGTGTGTGTGTGTGTGTGTGTGTGTGTAGCTCCTCTTATAGAAAATATCAGCATACTCTCCTTTTCACTTATCATTACATCATGACCACTTTCATATAACATTGGTCTTCAAAAACATAAATTTTAATGGCAGTAGTTTTGTTGTAGAGATACACCATAATTCACTTAACTACTCTCATTAACATATAGAGTGCTTCTAATTTCTTACTCATAAACATATTTACATATGAAATATTGATTTACATGTCTGATTATTTTTCCAGAATAAATTTTAGTGTAGTATTTCCAGGCTCTTCAGATACCAAATTGTCCTTTAGGAAACTCGTATCCTGTTAGACTCACATTCACAATTAACGTGAATGGCCTGACAGACTATTTCTGAAAAACAAACAAAAAAATCTTATACTTACTGTCTTCAAGTAAATCTGTTATATTTAATTCCAGAGAAGGAAAAATTTTTTTAAATAGTTTAAAGTCTTTTCCAAATCGAGGCATCTGAATAATCAGACATGATGGTGCCTAAAAAAAAAGATACATAATTTTAGAATCAAAAAGCTGAAAAATAATTTCCCTGAAATAGTTGTGGTTGTCAAACCAAGCAGTGGTGCCACCATAACATGGATGGCTACTCCGTGTTCACAAATGGGATCCACATGTGAAATGGACTATGAAGGCAGAGCACCAAGGAGCCACAAGCCTCAAGTAGTCCAAGATCTATGGACACATGGACACGGAAGTCTGGCAGTTCAACAACCTTGGGTCTCAAATAATATGATGACCATGCAGAGTCATTGACTTTGGGTTTATATTTTTAAAAGGCTTTGGAAAAACCTGAAGGACACTATTCCTTATATTTCAACAAATAAATAATGGTAGCTGTTAAGGTTTTACCAGAACATTCCTTCAGAGATGGATACAATGAAAATGAACCACAAGCATGTACTACTAAGATCATGAAGATACTCAGTAAACAGTAAAAGAAAAGTAATTTAAATTACTTGTTCATTTACAGTAAGTGAATTTTGTCTTTTATTGAAGGAGGAAAAGTAAACAGTAAAAGAAAAGTAATTTAAATCACTTGTTCATTTACAGTAAGTGAATTTTGTTTTTTATTGAAGGAGGAAAAGTAAACTTTTTTTTTTGATATATTTGGATAATATGCTTGGATAAAATTTTTAATTGGGTAAAATGTTAAGCTGGGTGAAAGGACAACAACAACAAAAAAACACAAATCTTCTTTGCTTTAAGCTACTTAAAAGTGTTCAAGTTACAAATTAGAATGGTATTTTCTATGGCACCAAAAATCTAAAAAGTTCAATCAATTCTAAGGTATTTTCTACATGGACAAAGTTGAAGCATGGCATATTTTTTTAAAATTTGTGTTTTGTTAACAATCTGTGCTCCTAACTGTTCTCAGTGGGTTAAAAGTAATAGTTATAGAAGCTATAGTTGTCTGGAGAACCCTGATGACTTGCATAAAAAATACAATAAGTAATTATCACTAACCTCAGCAAATTTCAGGTTGCTGTTGATAAAAGACCATTCTAATAATTGCTGAATTGTAGGAACTCCAACTTTCTCATTTTTTTCCATAAAAATCTGATAGAAGTAACAATCTTGAACTTTTTGACCTGCTGATCTAAAAATATGCAGAAAAAGCCAGATAATTTATTTATGAAATGCATCAAAAAGTGAAGTGGTTCCAGAGGCATTTGAGAACAGAAACCGATGGTGCAACTCTGACCATAAAACCGATGGTGCAACTCTGACACTCAGAACAACAGGGGCAGAGACAATCATTTAGATAAAATAATTAAATGTACTTATGCATAAGACCTTGCAAATGATTTCTTGTTTAAGTTCTCATATTGAAAAGCTGCCTTAGTGATTAGAAGAAAAATAATGCAACAACATCCACAGTCAAGAAGCACTGTGTGAACAATACAAGCCAGAAGCTAACATCACTTGGTTCAACTTAACCACCGAAGCTAGAAAGGAGCAAACTGCATTTAATGCTTGAAACAGGAAAGTTAATTTGTACATGCCTGAATGGGACAGACCCTAAGAGACCTTCCAGATGCAACTTTTCCTTTCTAAAATAAAGGGCCTGAGATCTGGGGAAGGATAATCCTTCCCAGTAACTCAAAATCAGAGCCAGGTATAAAAGCCAGGTGTCCTAACAACTGCTTACTATTCTTTGCACTAAAGCATGCTGTCTCTTTAGATGGTCACTCATTTATTCAACAAACACCAAGTCAGGGCCCACTATATGCCAATCACAGTGTTACCCTTATATTGAACATTTTCCCTTCTAAATATTTTACTTCAGAATGCATGAAAATTCAAGACTAACTCTACTAAAAGAATCAATAATCTTTCAATTTACTATTTACCCTTTTTAGCAGAATTTCTGCATATAGAATCAGGCTGTTTACAATTAGATTTATAAGTACAGTTCAAAATTTTGAGGGAAAAATATTAACGTAGTTTTCATAATAAAATCTCAGCTATTGAGAGGCCAACCTCAGAAACCCTCAGTTTCCCAAAGCACCTTATAGCCTGAAATAAACACAACTTATTTGGTAACAAAGCAAAGATTCTTGAGAAGCTACAACAAAAAAAGACAAAAACGATAACCAAAAAACCTGAAGGTTATGCTGTACCAATATTTTAATTGGTTACTGATGACAATAAAAGGCCAGCATTTTTCTGGCCAAAAAGCATTACCCAAAAAAGCCATTAAAAAAAGCCAAAAAGCATTTTAAAAAATTAATAGCTAACAGAGAAAATAAGACTGGAAACTAAGAAAGCAGAAAGTAGTAGAGGTCAGTAGTTGCAAAAATTAGAAATAATAATAGTGATGGGGGAGGGGGATGGTGGTTGGAGGGAGCATGGAGTGGCAAACACGAGAGATGGGAACCAGAAATGAGGATGTAATACCAACAGCTTTGGGATACTGGGACAGAAAAACTGGAGGCGGTGAGGGGGGCAGCAACCACTCAAACCTCATAACTGAAGTTCTAGAAGGCTAATATCCTAGGGTAATTAGCTGGGCATTAAGACACACATACAAAAGAATCACAACAAAACTGGTGCTGTTGTACAAAACCATGAAATTTACATTGCTGTTTATCACCAAAAACATCTAAGAGCAGAAGGGTACAAATGTTGTATTAACCTGAAAAGAAAATAGACGTCTACAGAGAAGATAAAAGTATCCATGGGTTTGCATAATATTGGTCTATCTACCTTTGTAACACAGACCATAATGGGTAGTCAACTAAAAATTTTTTACAGATTCTGGATTATCTAGTACTATGGAATATAGCATATCCATGTAATAAGAATCGCCAGTTCTATTGTTCTATAATGAGAGGTACTCAGTAATACAACCTGAATATTCCCTTATATCTGCTTCCTGATGCTGATCTTATTCCATTATTTTTCTTGTAATGCTTTACCTCCATCCATTAGCCTCTCGCATTAGTGGCTATGACTTTAGCTTCACCTTAGCACCCCATACACAGTCATTATTATTACTACTACCGTCATTGTTATTGTTTTTAAGTATGAAGGCTTGACTTACCCACATTTACCAATTTCTTGCTTGGCTTTCTTGTTTCTTGCATATCACTCCTTTATTCTAAATTCAGTTTTATGTTACTAAAGTACACCCTGTAATAAGTCTCTGACTGGTAATTTAGTCTTGGTTCTTCCAGCTCAGGAATTTTGTACATCTTTATTCTTAGAATTTAAGTCTGTCAAAAATTCCAAAAAATCTTCAGCTATTATCTCTTGAAATATTGCTTCTTCCCTATTCTCTCTAGTGTCTCCTCCTACAATGACAATTAGAATTTGTCTTCCATGTCTCTTATCTCCTCTTTCTTGTTTTCTAACTCTTAATCGCTTTGGGCTACATTCTGGGTAATTTCTTCAGATCTACCTTTCAAGTAAGCAATTCTCTCTTTAGCTGTGCATACTGCATTCAGTGAGGTACCCTCTCCCAGCCATATGTACATATATGGCTATATATATATAACTACATATATAGTTTTTTATTCTATTTTGGGGAGTTTTATTTTTGTTTATTTTTCTTTGTTATCAAATCTGCATTTATCCTCCATAGGTATCTAAGTTCTTTTTTCTCTTAAGCTATTTAAGAATATTCATATTAAGAATACCATTTTAGAATAGTCTCTTTTAGACTACTTTACTATTTCAAGGTTTTAAGGTACTCATCCTCCTATTTGTTGCATCAGCTGACGCTCCCTCCGTCAGGAAGACAGGCTCATGGAGGGGAAGAATGACACTTGGGGAAAAAACTGCTAACTTTTAAAGTATTTTTTTTTTATCTTTTTATAATCTTCAAACTAGTGATTCTCAATATGAATAGGCTGCTGAAGGGGGAGGAGAGGCAGAGCTTCCCAGGGCCCTCTTCAAACTCCACAAGACCTTCAGACACTGAGACATATTCCTGTATGTGACTGACCCTTCTTCACCCACTCTGAGAATCACTGCAGTATTCGTCCTATGTACATCCTGTGCACTGCAGTATTCGTCCTATGTAACACACCAGGAGTGTACTACAACCCAAGGTGTGTTGGGCTATGCAAAAAAAGAATGAAAACTGTTTTAATCATCTGAAATTTATCTCTTCAAGATGAAAAACAGAAGTGATTTCTTTCCTCCCAAATTGCCTGGCAGATTTCCTACATCATGTATTCAATATATATTTCCTTCCCCCTTTGTGTTTGAAGGTCGACTTATAGAATACTGAAATACCACATATAGTTAATTCTATATCTGGGCTTTCTATTCAATTCTATCTATCCAATTTCTAATTGTATACCAGTATCACACGGTTTTAAATGTCTGTTGTTTTGTCTTTATAGCTTACAATAGAGTTCTTTAAAAAAAAAAAAAACTGCAATGTTTTCACCCATTTCATCTTGTATAGAATTCTAAAATCATTTTACTAAGTTCCAAAGGAAAAAAAAAAGTTAAGATCTTGATTATGTACAAGTTATTTTGTAAACATTAACAGCCTTAAGTTATTTAATCTTCCTACCTGGAACACAATCTTTCTCACTAATTAATTAAATCACCTTTTAGCTCTGTGCAAGTCTTCTTCAAAAAATTGATTTCTTAGCATTTTATACTTTCATGAAGTATGAAATTATCTCTTTTTCATATTTGCTAGTGGGGATACCAGAATATGACTGATTTCTCCATGGTTTTTTCCTGCATGGTCAAATTACAAATTCTTGTGTTAATACTAGTAGTTTCTAAACAATTCTCTAGGATTTTCTGGGTATACATATAGCTATGACCTTATGTGAATAGATGATAAATATATCCTATCTTATTTCATTAGCTAGAACTTCCAAAATAATATCAAACTATAACTTCAGTACTGTCCACCCTTCCCTCCATCCTTCTTACTCATCAATTTGACACTGGCATCAAAGAACATCACTTAAGACACTGAGATGAGTAAGAATACTTGTCCGTGATTAGGTTTTAGGGAAGTAAATAGTATATAAGCAAGATTTTTCAACAAAGAAACCCAGACTAAAATGTAAAAAGGCCCAGCATTCAATCTGGAAAGTTCATCAATTTAGAACATCTCACTAAGAACTTCACTGTATTAGATTCAAGGCTTTCATTGAAGATGGGGGTAAAAAAGACCAAGTTATAAAACTGAGAACAAGAGAGCTAATTTAGGGCTAAATTAATTCTTTGACTAATGGGTAGTCAAAAACAGTGCTCCCACGGTGTTTGACTGAGTTTGAATAATTTTCTCTTAAAAGGATTCATTAATTTAAATTACAAAAATATTTATAGGGCTTCCCTGGTGGCACAGTGGTTGAGAGTCCGCCTGCCGAGGCAGGGGACGCGGGTTCGTGCCCCGGTCCGGGAAGATCCCACATGCCGCGGAGCGGCTGGGCCTGTGAGCCATGGCCGCTGAGCCTGCGGGTCCGGAGCCTGTGTTCCGCAACGGGAGAGGCCACAGCAGTGAGAGGCCCACGTACCGCGAAAAAAATATATATATATATTTATATACAGCTTTATAAGAAAACGATTTGCAATAGTGCTTATTACTGGGGTTAAAATTAAAAGCACAAATTTACACTGGATTTGTTCTTCAAGTTAAGTATGATACCATGGCAAAGATAATGATTTAAATTAACTTGCATTGCAGGAACCTAACATATTGAGATCCCTAAATAAATACAATATTAAGTAATCATTAAGGAAATCATTCCTACTGAATGATGGCAGTGGAAATGAGGACTGTCTATTTTTTCCAATGCTTCTGTAACAGTTTAAAATTACCTTATCTTTAACAATGGTTCTACCCTTAAAATATGATGAAACAGAATATTCAAGAATTCTTCAGGATCTAGGAGAAAATAAAAAATCAAATTAAGTCACAGACAAGATTTTTAAATCATTCTATTTTTTCTTTATAACAGTCATATTCCTATACAGAATTCAATTTCATAATCAATATTATTTCAATTAAAAGCATAGTTCTCAAGTTTTCCTAACAACAAACTACAAAGGATATTTAAATGATGTGATAAAGTATTACATGCCAATTTTGTTATAACTTTATTATATTTCAAAGGGTATAATAATTCACATATAGGGAAATAATTTTAATTTCTTTGGGGGGGGCTTAAGATAAGTGTAATAAAACCTGACGTATGACCTTATCTTTCCTGCTATTTAAATAATTATCAAGTCTGTAACTATTATAGCCAGTATGCTGTTAGTACATTCAAAGTCAGGAGTTGAATCTCTGAGTAAATTCATTAGCTGTGAATAGATTAAAACACTGTCTCTCACCATAAACTTAATCCTAATCAGCCATTTGTAACTCCCTTTATAACAAGGAAAGCTAAGTGAGAAATGTGGATGACTCAGGGCAACTCTTCACCCCTGAAAAGAAAACAACTCCGAATATCATCGCTGGACGGAAAGATCTCCTTATTTATTCATAATATACTAATACCAGCCAGCTTCTTAAAGGGGTTCATTATTCCACATATCACTCACTTTTAGAAGAGAGAAAGCATTTACAAAAAGAAAATTGTACATCACATAGAAAAAAATTATATTTTAAAATATAATCCCCAAAACTACACAGATATAACATTTCAACCAACAATTTAGCATTTATGCTTTCAAGTTATTTTTAATGCATATCCTATAAATTAAAACAGTCACCTTGGGCTTCCCTGGTGGCGCGGTGGTTGAGAATCTGCCTGCTAATGCAGGGGACACGGGTTCGAGCCCTGGTCTGGGAGGATCCCACATGCCGTGGAGCAACTAGGCCCGTTAGCCACAACTACTGAGCCTGTGCGTCTGGAGCCTGTGCTCCGCAACAAGAGAGGCCGCGATAGTGAGAGGCCCGCGCACCGCGATGAAGAGTGGCCCCCGCTTGCCACGACTAGAGAAAGCCCTCGCACAGAAACGAAGACCCAACTCAGCAAAAATTAATTAATTAATTAATAAACTCCTACCCCCAACATCTTCTTTAAAAAAAAAAAAAAAAAAAGTCACCTTTTTCTTCAGAGGTAAATCCTGATGCAGCCTCAACTTTTTCAAGTATTTTCCTCAGTTTCATAATCTTTGTTGCACATACGTATCCATATCTATGTTAGTAAAAAACTATTAATTAATATTAGCAAATATATTAAATTAATATAACACATTTTTTATTGAAGGACAATTGGCTTACAATGAACATAACACATTTTGATAATCAAATATTTCTTATGTAACTCCAGTGTGTCATAAATTAGTAAGCTTAATAAGTATTGCAGAAAATACAAGCTTCTTCTTGAGGTTTGAAACTTTTAAAATCTATAATCAGAATTATCTCAGAAACTATGATAACCTAAAAATAACTATCATATACTCATAAAAGAAAAAATATTTTTCATTTATGATGACAGTTTTTTTAATACTATTTTACTTAAGGAATTAAAACATGTACTTTACAAAATAGGATATACAATTCTGAGAGAGAATCCTTTTAATGTTGTACTAAAGGATGAAATAGCTACCAAGGGGGATGGAAAAGGGCAGTGATAAGAAACTGAAATTCTAAAATCTGCAATCAAACCAGTCACCATAACTATGACATTATCTCTTATCTTTCTCCGAATACAGGATACATTCAATAAGCTTCCTGTCAATCCTTGACAAACTTCTAATTCTAAAACTGGCTTCAGAAGACAGCTTAGGAGGCCACCATGGGCTTCATAAGAGCAAGTCAGAACCACCTAATCTTACATCCATTTTTCATATCGGCTATCCACTCACTCATTAGCTCTTTGCAGCCAACATATATTGAGCATCTACCACTTACATAGTAATCTAACCTTTCAGTATTCAAAGAACGTTTATCAACGGACTTATGGTGTTTTGGAAGGAAAGAAGGAAGTGGTAACATGCCTTAGAGTTTTGGATTTAATCTGTCTTGTTCTAGTATCAATCACTTGGGGGGAAAAATAGACAGTATGTTTAAATTTTGCATTTATACAAATATAATACAAAATAACTGATGTAAAACTCAAGATTCATAATTATCTTAAGGGGGTAAAAACTACAGTTATTTTCATCATTACAGAATTCAAAGAAAACAAAAGATACAAGTGGGAAATTTATTCACCTATAATATAATTTCCTAGTCATGTTATATAGTAGGTCATTCCGAATGCTCATTATATTTCAGTGTTCTGCATTTTGGGGTCAAAATCTTATATCAAACTATTTTTTATTTTAATTGTTAAATAATAAAAGTATGTCACAAAATTTAAATTTATCTTAATATGGACTTTAAATTACATAGTTTGCTCCCTATATTCCTAAAAGAGCGGATTTGTTTTGTGATCTATGGCCCTGACTCTTCATAGTTTAAATTTTACACTGTGACATTATCACACATTCCTCCTACCACTTAACAAAAGTCCTTACTAGATGTCTTGTACTTATACCATTACAAATTGCTTCCTGTGGCCAAAGAAAGACATACTTACAATTCTTAAACTAGGAGATAACCAAAAACATCACCTTTTTAAGAGAGGTGGAGGGAGGCCTAAATATCTTCCTTTAACCAAGAAATGTGTTTATTAATAAAATACATCTCATGTATTTCTAACATAAAACTATTAAATACTTGCTACTCTATAAATAAAAATTTCCCTTGCTGCTATTCATTCAGATAAAATTAAGAAGCCAGATCATACCAATTAAACTAATAAGCATGATTACATTAGGGGTAATATTGAAGATAAGAATCCCAAATACCTTATATCAGCTTTTATAAACCTACTGTAATTGCTGAACTGTAGTACACTCTACCAAAATGGTTTAATCACTTCATGGCATACACTATATGCTACACTTTGGCCAGATTTAAAATGTTAAAGAAGTAAAGACAGTACAACGGGACTTCCCTGGTGGTGCAGTGGTTAAGAATCCTCCTGCCAATGCAGGGGACACAGTTTCAATCCCTGGTCCGGGAAGATCCCACATGCCACGGAGCAACTAAGCCCGTGCGCCACAACTACCGAGCCTGTGCTCTAGAGCCGGCGAGCCATAACTACTGAGCCCACGCACTGAAACCACTGAAGCCCATGTGCCCTAGAGCCCGCGCGCTGCAACTGCTGAGCCCACGCCCCGCAACTACTGAAGCCCATGCACCTAGAGCCTGTGCTCCGCAACAAGAGAAGCCACCGCAATGAGAAGCCCGTGCACCGCAACAAAGAGTAGTCCTTGCTCACCACAACTAGAGAAAGCCCGTGTGCAGCAATGAAGACCCAACACAGCCAAAAAATAATTAAATAAATAAATAAAATAAAAATTAAAAAATAAATAAAAGTAGCAACAAAGACTGAACAGAAATCTTCTTTAAAAATAAAAAAGACAATACAAGGACCGAAAGTTAAAAAAGATGTTAATACATCATTGAGAGAACTAATTCTCTCCCATTTCTCATTAAAGGAAAGCAGGGAATAAATTAATTACTGTACCAAAAAACAGCACCTAGGATACCACCTAAAGGCAAAAATAACTATCTTCTACTTACATTCTCAGAGGATTAACGATTTCTGTCCTCAGCAGCTCTTGAGTTTCACTATAATATTCTACATCATTCTTTTCTTTGGGTCTAAGTAACACAGTGTCCAGAACAGAACTAAAAGCAAACAAGCTGCAAAATAAAAAGAATATTTTTCCTCATGCTGTAAATGTACTAATTTTTGAGAAACCCATACCAAAAAGAATATGAAGAGAAAAATCACAAACTCTGGAGAACAAATAACATACAAATTAGTGTTTTTTATTAATACAGGTAACCAAGACCCCTGTCAAGGTTCCCATGGCTCAATCATCAGGGCCTAGAGATCATTAAGGAGAGTACTAATATCAAGAAGGCAAACTATAGATTGACAGTGTTAAAGGACTAAAAATACGCCTTCAGTACAATGGAAAACTTCTTTGCAAAAGCTGAAAGAAGGCCTACAAATCTGAGTCAAACTACAACAGAGGAGAAAGTTTGGAAACTAATTTCCCAAGGCAAACACATAGCCAATATGTAACCCACTCTAGATATTATACTTCTCTCTCTCCACAGCCCTTTGCAGAAATCTGAATTCCTTTAAACGTCAAAATCACTTGTGAGTGACTAACAGCAGTGACTTGCTGATATCAAAGAAAAAGAAAATTTGGCTAAACAGATTTTTATCAGAAAATCTGAAAAATATTACATCAATTCTTGCTTTTGTCAACACCTCTGAGAGACAAAGTATTCTGCCCCCAAAACGGCCCACCATTTTTATTCTTCTCCCTTGTCTTTAAAATTGTAACATCCCATTAACTTCCTAATTCTTACAACGTGGCTGTACAGAGCTGGCAGGTTATGCTCAGTTTAACTGGCGATGTTCTTGGTTCAAGCTTCAGAGTGTAAAAGTTTTTGCCATGTTAAACTGTTCTACTTTGGAACAAACTACATATATGAGGGCAACTGTGCTTCTACTGAAAACACTTCTTTAAAATAAAGCAGTTTTATGATTGCCTCTGCCTAGCAAAACAAACACACAAGCCAGTCAACGGCTTATGACAAGTTATTTGATTTGTGCACAAAGATCCTGTACTTATTCTCTTCAGTCCTATGATTTCCCACATACCCTCAGAATATCTGTACCACCTGTAACACTATCATTCACCTCTTATCCATCATTCACTGCATTATTTTTTATATTAATTTTTTGGATACAGGCACATAAGGCAACATTCAGTAGCTTCCAAGGAGTATATAAGTGAAATGCAAATCTCCCTTTCTCTCCTGAACCCCAGCCCCCAGTTTCTCCACTCAGAGGCAATTAGCAGTTTCTTTCTCTCCCTCTTTCTCTCTCTCTCCGACACACACACAAAGAAACACATGCACCTGCCCCCATGGCACTATATTCCTACTGCATTAATTTTAAACTTACCAGAATAAGGTTGAGTCTAAGTAACAAGAATTGTAATGACCCTGGATACCTTTCTTCTTTCCAATCATTATCTCTAAACCTTCTTTTTCCATTTTTGGTGGAGTATTTTCTTCTACTACTTCACTTAAGTAGCCTCCAAATGCTGCAAAGATAAAAATGAAAATAATTCTTTTAAACTATTATAGTTATGTATTCCCATACATATTTCTTCACTTAAAAATATCTTTTCGGGGCTTCCCTGGTGGCGCAGTGGTTGAGAGTCCGCCTGCCGATGCAGGGGACACGGGATCGTGCCCCGGTCCGGGAAGATCCCACATGCCGCGGAGCGGCTGGGCCCGTGAGCCATGGCCGCTGAGCCTGTGCGTCCGGAGCCTGTGCTCCGCAGCAGGAGAGGCCACAACAGTGAGAGGCTCGCGGACCGAAAAAAAAAAAAAAAAAAAATCTTTTTGTATTTTGATGCACCATTTATTACCCAACTTAAAACTAAGTTAAAGGTAGGTTTTGGTTAACTGTTATTCAGCTTGGCTTATAAAAAAAATGCTAATGTTCGTTTTCAACCTTACTTCCTCCACAATTTAAAAAACATTTTAGAGTATCAAGTAACGTAAAAAAGCATCTGCCAAGTAAAATATTTTGTTCCCCAAATATCTTATTTGTCTGAAGATGTTCCATTTTCAAGTTGGAAAAGAAAACAAGACATTCCAAAGCACTACTCCAACTGTAAGGAAACTTGTTTTTCATAAAGATGGCTTTTTCCTATTTATACCTGTTTAACCCTCAAGATGTTTCACCACGATTATCCAAAACTGGACAGGATCAGTATCAGGAAACTGCCACCTACTATAAGTGATGAGATCTGTGGTTCATCAAGCAATTAAACCTACTTCTTATAACTATGCTGACATCTTGGTAACACATGCTTATTGATGTACTTGAACAATACAGAGAGAGGAAAATCAGTGCCATAACGAAGGCCACATTTCAATCTCTACTTCCTGGGTTGTTGAAAATTAAATGTCTGTAATCAACAGGAAGGGGAAAATAAATCCCACTATTTCTCAGTTTTTAAGTCTCAAGCATGGCTTCCTGGCTAATACTTTTTCTAAATGTCCCCTCTTAGGATAACTGTAACTTTCTCATACACCAAGTAATAATTTTTTTCTGATTTAAAAGCTTGATGAACACTGGCAGGAAAGAAAGAAACACTGTTTACTACCAACTACTGCAAAATGACATGAGGTCAGAACTAGAGTCATTCCAGATTGATGAATAAATGAAAGGCACACAAATACCTAAAGAGTTACAGCGTTCGATCTGATTGGAAACTGGCTGCAGGGACGCAAACCTAGAGTCTGGCCGGCAGCTCTTCAGTTTAACAAACAGCGCCTTCTTCAGGGCACAGGTGAAATACCGAGTACCCCTAAAGGTTCCATCTGTACAGCCTGCACACTCGTCTTCCTGAAAAAGAAAAAAAAAAAATGCTTAAACATGCATTATTCTCCATCTTGCAAAGACGGTATACAAAGAACTAAGACTTGTTTCAAGTTTACCCTTTCTTAGAATTCTGTTGTCACACCTGTACTGAGAACTCCATCAGGAAAAAGGGGTTGACTGATCAGTGTTTCAGCCCACAGCTGATAAAATCCTCAACGTATTTCCCTTCAGAATACATGTTAAACCTTCCCTGGTTAACTGACTTCCCTGCATCATTTCCAAAAGCATTAAAACTAGTGGGGACAGGAGGCCAGAAGGGGCTGTTTATTTTAACAACCCAAAGAGAAAAATAGCATCCACTGGCCTGTAAACCAACAAATAAAAAAGCAAGAAATATATTTAAATAAAAGCTAAATGTACTCAAATTCTCTTTCTGATTATGAAATGTCAAACAATATGCTTTCTAATCTCCAAAATCTTTCCCTCTACCAAAGATCTCAAAAGGTCACTAAAAATGGTGATTAATCTTAAAGTCAGTGATAGAAATATTAGAACTGATTGCAGGAGGGAGGCTAAGGAAAAAAAAAAAAGAAAAACTGATAACAGTTTGCTTTCCTTACTGCATTCTGTTTAATATAATGAGCCTAAACATATTAGCCTAAAAATCTACTTTCATTCCCTGAACACAGATCAACTAACATTAAGAATAAGTGGATCAGATGCTTAACGGGCAGCAAAGGATGTCAGGCAGCGTGGTAATAAAATTTTTCTCTAGTGATGGCTTTGTGGATAAATAAAATATTTCACCAAAAAGCAAAGAATAGGGA